TATTAGGCCTTATTATGACCCATTGTAAACATAGACTTAGCACTACAATTAGATCTTATGTAATCTCATTAGATCTTATGTAATCTCTATATAAGGTTAATAACCTCACAACTTGATCAATAAAAAAACCTATTTACAATTTCTAAGGTTTCTTGACATGGTCTCTACTCTCCTCATGAGATCTGAGAACCAAACAGCTTATAATAGTTTGACTTGTTTTATATTTTCATACTTAATAGTTTAGGTATGAGATTTCAACTCCAATTTATGCAAAATATTGTAGGTGATTTTTTTTGTAGTGATATATGTTACAGATTCATTTGAACATGGTTTAGTGTTTGCTCCCCACTGAGAAATCTAGTTATTCAGACTTTTTTCATTTTTTTCCAAGTATGGTTTAAGGGAAAAGTTTGGACCTGAAAGTCAAATTAGTTGGTGTGGTTTTCCCGGATTGGGATGTTTCATAAATATGGTTAATAAAGTTTGTTTTTTAACGGAGGTTTTCTATTTCTTTAAATATAGAATTCTATTCGAATCTTAATTTGGAAATAGATTGAGCAAATCTATTCCAACACCCTTAGAAACACATCAGTTTTACTTTTATAGACAACTCCACAACCCTTCCTCTTTGGCTCAAGGGACAGTTTGTTGATGTGATGTCTCGATCTTAAAAAAAAAAGATAATTACTAGCGTTCAAAATAAAAGTTACATCAGAAATTTGGAGCATTGTGTCGGTACTAGTGCACCGAAAGAGTTCCGCTATCGGTTGCTCGTGAAGTACCTTCGTCGCTTCATGCTTTTATGGAGGCAGAGTTTGCTAATAAATATTAGAGCATATGATGATCAAGTTATGATATGAGGATGCTGATGGTACTTATCATCTTAAAATGTTGGGATTTTTCAAAGTTCCGTACCTGAAACTTTATTCTTCATTTGTATGACATCTACTGATATTTTATTTGAATCTTTGAAATCTTTTCATACCGGTCTTCGTTTTAGTAAAACTAATACTCAACGTTAAAAGAAAAGGACATACTCCACTACCCCTCTTATAATAAGATGCACAAATCATTACTACGTTTGCTATCAATCCAATGGCTAGAATTTATAAAATTATCGATCATCTATACAAGTTATTAATAGTGGTGAAATCTAAAAAATGCATACTAAATGAACTGAAAATAAAAATTAATACATGCTTGAATTTCAAATTCATTAGTTCTCACATTTTTTATATATATTTGAATTCTTTTTTTTTTTCAAAAATTTTTACATACTAATGTAACATTTTCAGTTTTTGTTGAACCCACATTATCTTTTTGGTCAAACCAATCTTTAAACTTTTGAGAATGCATTCGATTTAGAAGAATACTCTAAAATACCATCGAAACAAGTTCAATCCAAAAATACTATTATTTTAAAACTACACACTGTTAGAGTCATAATTCAAACACTATGTTATAGATTTGCGTCTTCAGGGACAAAGTTAAAATTTTCGCGATTTTGCCTATAAATAGTAGGGAACAGGGATAAGAAGATTGTTTTTATGGAAGCACGTAAAATCAGAAAGCTAGAGAAAAATTCTACATAGTTAATTCAGATGGCTTCAAAGTATTTATTTGGTTATATTCATTGAATTCTATAACTGAGATGGCTTCAATATTGGTTATTCTTTTGAATAATCCGATTGATATTAACCCAACCTAACTAAGTTCAACAAAACAATATTCTTGAATGTAGAAATTCACGTAATTATTCTAAGAAAAAAGGGTCCAAGTCCGGTTTATGAATCTTAAGAAAATATACTTTCCAAGTTCTTTTAGGATATCGCCAACGCGCACAC